ATGTTGACCCCCATTCCCTAGGTTTTTCCAGATCTGCATGATTCATATTCCCATTCATCTTATAAGTGGGCCCCCCCACTTTGAAAAACGTTCCGCCGGCCCTGTGTAAAATTTCTGCCCACTAGTAAATGAAAATACACAGGTTATAGACCTCAAGGCTGAGAATATAGTGTATAACCATTGCACCAGCTACTGTAAGGCCCTCTTTGTTTGTGTGCCCTTAATTTCCAAGTGGTGTAGTATAAATAGAAGTAATTGCTTTTATATATTATTCATTATTATTTGCAGATTTTCTAACCTTGGGAATACCTGCTACATGAATGCAATTCTTCAGTCGTTATTCAGCCTTGAACCTTTTGTCAACGATGTTCTCAATAATGACGTGCATAAAGATATGCCAAGAGAAAGCCTATACAAGTAAGTAGACACTTAAAAAGTGTAATGGAGTTATTTATATTAATAATTCTTTTTATCTCATATCTCTTAAGTACATCCATGTTGGCAAAATCTGCGCGGAAATCGGCCATTATTTTCTGAAATGCGCGGACGGATTTCTAGGCCAAATTTTTGCGCAGCGGACCCAGCACAGGCCTCACTATACAGTCTGGTATGTATGTATACAGTGGTCCCAGTCTTCAGTGGGTCACCAGTCTCCCGCGCTCCTGCAAGCATGCAAATCTCCTAGAAATCTCTTACAAAAATTCAGAATGTTTGCATACTTTTTGTGCAACATTGTGTATTTTTTCCCAGCAGTTAGCTGGTCATGAGCATACAGGGGCAAGCAAAATACACTAAGATTTGATTTGAGCTCATTATACCAGAGGTAGCTCTGCCTCTGTTAAGTTGCTCAATTTTTTTATCCCTAGAGTTTGGCTCGTGTCTTACAAATTTAAGCTTGTTTTGCTTTTTTCTCATGCCTAAAAAATAACTCCTTCATTGTTTGTGTCTTTTTGTTTCAGGGCTGTCTTTCAACTAATACAAGCAAAAAAGAAAGACAAAGGAACTAGTGAAATACAGACTTTACTACGATATCTGAAGAGTGCTATTTCAAACACAGCAACCCGTTTCTCAGGCTACCTACAACATGTATGCTCAACATTAGTTGAATATTTCAACAAATTTAATATAAATTGAATATTTTACATTTTCTGGTTCTGAGATGTCATCATAATTTGTTATATATAC